AGAAGACACAGAACTTGTTTATGCTACAGGTTTGAATCTAAGGGTATGTCTACACTGCAATTAAAAACTCACAGCTGGTCTGTGCCAGTCCAAGCCCTGCGAGACTAAGTCAGCTAAGGGCCTGTTTAACTGCAGTGTAGACGTTCAGACTCGGGCTGGAACCTAAGCTCAGGAACCCTCCCCCCTTCTGGGGTCCCAGAGCCTGGGCTCCAGCCCAAGCCTGAATGTCTACACAGCAATTAAACTGTGCCTTAGCCCGAGCCCCTGGAGCCCAAGTCAGCTGGCATGGGCCAGCCCTGGGTGTTTAATTGTAGTGTAGACATTTCCAAAAAGAATCAGCCTGCTCTGTGTGACTAAATGAGTCTAGGGAATAGTTCTGCAGCATCCTGGAATCTGATATTAGTTACATACCCCCTCAAGAATTATTGGATCAGTACAAATGTGTCTTACTCACATCTGGCTCCAAGTAGATTTGTATTAAACTCAAATTAGTTTTGGTTTGCAAAAGTTAGTGTGAATGAACATCTTTGTGTTCATACATCTAGAGTTTTGTTTGGAATGTCAGGTTTGTATTGCTCCTAAAACATGAAGCAAAATTCACTCCTGATGATTGAGTTTCGTCTTGGTTCACATAGAAACCAAATAAACCAGGAGTTTCAACAGGTTTTGGTTTCTGTGTTTCTTAGTAAGGGAACTTTTTGTGCAATCTGCATTATGTTTCAAGCTTGTAACTAACCTGGAAACCAGTCCTGTTTTAGGGAAAAGGAGTGGGGGGTTGTCAGGTTTTGTTTGCAAACATTTTTTGAGACCTAGTTGAGAGATAATACTGGATCTCCTCTCTGAAGTCAGTCTTACTCCTCTATCTGACAGATAAAGGGAAATAAAATGATAAAAAGATACAGTAACTCCTCACTTAACGTTGTAGTTATGTTCCTGAAAAATGCGACTTTAAGTGGCTTTAAGTGGGGGTTAGGTTCCAGGGCAGCTTCCCCTACTCTGCAAGCACTAGGGGCAGGGGGCTCAACCCTCAGCCTGCCCACTCCACCCCTTCCCCCAAGCCCCCACCCTTGACCTGCCTCTTCTCCTCCCCCTTTACTTTGCACGCTGTGTCCTGGCTCCTCCCCCTTCCCTCCTCTCCCTTCTAAACGCTGCATTCGGGAGGGAGGGGGGAGGCTCGCCGAGTCCTTGCTCCTCCCGCCTCCCTCCTGCCCGGGGCAATCAGTTGGCCTGCCGTGTTCGGGAGGGAGGGGGGAGGCGAGGAGCAAGGACTTGGCGCAGGCTCCCCCTTCCTCCCCCCCCACCTCCTGCCTGGGGCAATCAGCTGGCTTGCGGCGTTTGGGAGGCAGGGGAGGGAGGGGGAGGCTGCGCACTGAGTCCTCGCTCCTCCCCCTTCCCTGCTGCCTCCAAAACGCCTCAAGCCAGCTGATTGCCACTGGCAGGGGGCGGGGGGAGGAGGGGGAAGGCGCTGATCCGCGGGGTCTGCCGACGGGCGGGAGGCACTGGGTGGGGTGGGGGGCCCATAGGGAGGCTGCCAGCTGTGGAGAAAGCAGGCAGCCAAACAACGTAAGAGTGGAGCATTGCACAACTTTAAATGAGTATGTTCCCTAATTGATCAGCAACGTAACAACGAAACAACGTTAAGTGGGATGACTTTAAGTGAGGAGTTACTGTAACAGAATGATATAATAATCAGTTGTGGACTCCACACTTAGTGGTTGACTTATGAATCTTGTATATTCTTAGGGCAAGTCTTCACTACGGGTGGGGGGGTCGATTTAAGATACGCAAATTCAGCTACGCGAATAGCGTAGCTGAATTCGACGTATCGCAGCCGACTTACCCCGCTGTAAGGACGGTGGCAAAATCGACCTCCGCGGCTTCCCGTCGACGGCGCTTACTCCCACCTCCGCTGGTGGAGTAAGAGCGTTGATTCGGGGATCGATTGTCGCGTCCCGACGAGACGCGATAATTCGATCCCCGAGAGGTCAATTTCTACTCGCCGATTCAGGCGGGTAGTGTAGACCTAGCCTTAGAAGCTAAAAAAGGGAGTCTAAAAACTGTCTCTCATTTATGAGAGTAAAATGGCAGCTCACCTTGTCAAATAAATGTTGCTAAACTTAAATGATCGAAAAACCTTAATACAACTACATCAGATACATCTCTAGAACTGTCACTTCAGAACCATCTCCAACTTTGCAGTCCCTTCAGCACGCACGTCCACTAGATAGTCTAAATTTATCATCTTGAAAAATATATGGCATAGTTCAAATTGCATATAGAAAGACTATATTAAAAGAATGTTATTAAGGTTGCAAAATCCAGCCCTCAAACGTTAAGAAATGGTAGAATTAAGGTTGCCCATACAATTCTAATTCAGCCCTCTTGTGTGCATTCAGTATGACAGGCATTGTTCAATAATAAGGATTATGAAAGGCACAAAATTATTAACATCAGTTGGTATAAGACATGACACTTGAATTAATTCTGATCTGCAGCCCAGTGCACCTTTCTCCTAAGCCATAAGGTATTTTGAATAGTAGTAAAAGGATGAGGATTCATTATCTCTGCATCCTGTCCAAAGGTTCAGTTCTGGACCCAGGATCCTGAAGTGACATGCTGGGAAGCATGCTCAGTGACAATAGAACATTCAGGGATGTTAAAGGCAACCCTTCAGCAGGGCAGGGCTGCTTGGGGGGGGGCAAGTGGGACAATTTGCCCCAGGCCCCGCAGGGGCCCCCACGAGAATGTCGGAGGCTCCCCCCGCCTCCGCCTTCCCCCATCCCCAGGAGCCTCAGAGCGTCGCATCGAGGAGCGGCCCTGGACAGCACTGCAGCGGCGTGGCTCGGGCGGGGCCTGAGGTCCTCCTGCTAGGAGATGCATGGTAAGGGGGCAGGACTGCAAGCTCCGGCGGGCCGAGCGGCAGGAGCTCCTGGACGCGGCTCGCTGAGGCTCTGGGAGGGGGGGAGGCGGGGGTAAGCCCCTCTGAGCCGGACAACCTCTGACCCCATTCCCCCCCACAGACCTGACCCCCAGCTCCGAGCCCAGCCCCTCTGAGCCGGACCCCCTGCAGACCCCTCCCAGCCCTGACCCCCAGCTCCGAGCCCAGCCCCTCTGAGCTGGGCATCCCCCGACCCCATCCCCCCACAGCCCTGACCCCCAGCGCCGGGCACCCCCCCGACCCCATCCCCCCGCCGCTCTGACCCCCAGCTCCGAGCCCAGCCCCTCTGAGCTGGGCATCCCCCGACCCCATCCCCCTACAGCCCTGACCCCCAGCTCCGAGCCCAGCCCCTCTGAGCACCCCCCGACCCAGAGCCCAGCTCCCCACCCAGCTCTGGGCAACAGTAGCGGCACCCCCAGGCAGCGACAGCCCATTGGCACCAACCATCACCCAGTGACAGCCCATTATGTAATTGCAAATATATACATACCATTAAAGCATTTAATGTTTTTAAATAATGTATTTTGTGTATTTTCAAATTATTAAAAATTAATTTTTGAATGTATTTCACTGGTTATTTTTTATATTTCCAAATACATGTTACTATAGTATTGCAACTTTTTTTTTAATGGAAGGGGTCCCCGAAATTGCTTTGCCCCAGGCCCCCTGAATCATCTGGGCGGCCCTGCAGCAGGGTTAACTGAGCAAATACAAACTAAAACGTTTAACAATTATAATTTTTATTGATCGCCGACTGTGCATTCAGCAGCAGGATTTTCAGATTGTTGTATTGTTTTCCTCCTCTCTTTAATGATTTTACTGATTGAACAATTGACTTCAGGTGTCCTGCTTTTGGATTTATCCCAATGTGGTGGTTTGGAGGAAAGTTTCCTTAACCCAGTGTAACTTGGGAGTGTGTAGGATAATTGGGTCCCACATCTTTGAAGATGCGGATATTCCAAGTTTTCCAGATTTTCAGGGTGTGACAGTATTGTTCTGTGCTTTGCTGTAGTCCCCAGAAAAATTTGCATGATAGTCCCTAAATAAGTGCAGCTGACATAGGGTGGTGCTGAAGTAGTGGATTGTGGTGCAGATGGAAGGGGGGCATTTCTTCCTTCCTCCTTCTCCCTCTTTGTTAACAGCACTTCATACTCCTGTGATGTTGTGGGGAGTATATGGCACCTCATGGCCCAGTAGGTAAGTCAAAGGAGTGGGTAGCACATAGGTGGAACTATCTCTTTAAATCTGCTTGATACCAAGGGGGAGGAGAGCGAGGGGGAGAAAACAAACACTGCACTTATCTGTAAAGTTATGGTGATGACTGTACTTTGAGCTCCTCATCAGTGCAGATGGCTGTGGCAGAGCCCTAGAGATCTCTGTTGCAAACAAGGGATGCTTTAGAGCTCTTCGAAAACAGATTTCTTTTTTTGCTAGAAATTGTTAGGCAACCTATATGTAGGTGTTGTGACCACTCCTATGTAGTATTATTTGTACCATTCTAAACCACTCAACACAACCAAAGCATAGATATTGAAATTGATATTGCCTAATTTATCTAGCCCCATAAAGCTAAAGGTACTTTATATTTTAACACTTAGGTTTTGTGTTCTGGAAACTACCTCTTACAGACCAATTTTATAGTCTAAAACTGAAAACAGAAAATCTGTTTTGGAAAATAACTTAACAGTCTAGCACGGTTGTTTTTCACAGCTCATCAGTGTTTTATAACCCAGTTTGAAACATTAATCAGCTTTAATTTTAAAATACTGAAGTATATGATATAGTAATGATTTTGTTTATTTGTTGTTGATTTCAATTTTTTCATTTAGAATTTCTTAAATGAATCGTATTTGTATTCTCATTAAAAGTCTTTCACATGGAATATTCATGAACTTACAGCTTATTATTGTAGAGAATCATTTCACTAAGCCCAGAACTGATCTCTGTGTAGCTTGGTTTAGTTTGGGTAAATTTTAGCACAGAACCCACGTTGTCCTTATCTGTGTTCAGACGCTGAGATATAATCTTATGATTGTTTTAAATTTCAAACATATTATGTATCATGGCTTGGATGACTTATATTTCTCACTGGTTTGATGAAGATGATTGGTATGAAGGACACCAAAGAGTAAGAATTCTATTTTTCTGTTTTACTGCCTTACATTTTTCTTCATTGCACTGCTGTTTCTCTGTGTTACATATACCATTAGCATTATTTGTACTGCAGTACTGAGAATGGATCATTAATATTTATTTATATTGTCTTAACCCTGGGATAAGTATATAATGTCATATTTTGAAGATTTCAGTATAATGTAATATGAATAACCAGCAGAACTGTATTTTTCAGTGTTGGAACTTCAGTTGCCAGATAGCTGCATTTTTATTTTTTTGTTGCATACTTTAATATGTAGTAAATTTTCAAAGATGAAATTAAATGTTCCATTTTAGTCTATTAGAGGGAATGAATGTAATAGCTATCAGTTCTAATCAACTAGCTACAGTAAAGAATAGAATAGAGTGCGGGAAAATCTGAATAAGACAATATTTAAGAAATAGAGCATAGAACTTTACCTAGGGTCATCTCCATGTTGTACTCTGGACGTTTGTATAGGATTTTATGGAACGAGTGACATTAATTCAAAATAAGAAGAGTGGTTGCTATGGCAACCTTTGCAAGATGTCTTGGAAAAAATGTTTAAATGTGTTTTGATTACCATATGCTTCGGACAAGCTTGATCTATTACTGTTTTTCATAGGTTTAAGACAGGAAAATAGTGAAAGGCATATATCTTTCAGTATGTTATGCCCTCTTTTAATGTAATTGCTTGGTGTCTTTTTTTCATATTTTTCTTTTAATGGTATATTTCTCAGCCATTAGATCACATTGCAGCAGGAGTTGCTGGCTTCTCTGTTTTTCAGTAGTTCCTTATTAACTATATGTGTGATTTGTTAAGTGCGAATGTGCTCACTGCTGCAATGTAGCGCTAGAAGATTTTAATCTTTTTTTCTCATTCTCATCTACTGTATCTTTTTATTGCATAGTTGCTTTTGATACATCCCCATTCTCTAGCAGCCACTCATAAGGTAAGCAGTTGGGAGATTAGTGGTAGCCATATCTCAGACCAATAATGCTCTAATGCAGGGGTCGGCAACGTTTCGCACGCGACTCGCCAGGATAAGCACCCTGTCGGGCCGGGGCAGTTTATTTACCTGCTGACGCGGCAGGTTCGGCCGATCGCGGCCCCCACTGGCCGCGGTTCGCCGTCCCGGGCCAATGGGGGCAGCGGGAAGCCGCGGCCAGCACATCCCTCGCCCGCGCCGCTTCTCGCCGCCCCCATTGGCCCGGGACGGCGAACTGCGGCCAGTGGGGGCCGCGATTGACCGAACCTGCCACGTCAGCAGGTAAATAAACTGCCCCGGCCCACCAGGGTGCTTATCCTGGCGAGTCGCGTGCCAAACGTTGCTGACCCCTGCTGTAATGGCAAGCAGACAGCAGGAAGGAGGCTATGCTATGATGTGGCTGGTAACCTTCTCCTGGGAGATGAAAACAGATTCCCTACATCAGGGTTCTCAAATATTTTCATAATATGGGACACACCTCGATAATCTTGTGGACTGCCTACCTCTCTTTCTTATCATCTACTGTGGCTGTGCTGGCTATAGCAATTGTTAGCATGGCAATAGAAACTATTTAATATATTTAGCTGTCTCTTTAATTGCATTTGACATCTGAAAACTATTAATCCTAATATCATGTGACCAGCCAGCTCTCAAAAGACGTTAGTTTGAAACCTGTGCTATGTGTTGATTCAAGTTGACATAACTACTTGTATGATTCAACATGTGTGGCTGTGTTCTGTTAGGAATATTAGCGTATATAGTGACCGCTCAGAAGCACTGGTGTTAACATTTGGCTTTTCGTTTTATTGCAGTTCTAGAAGAAAGAATTTGAAGCAGGAAAAGAATAAAGTTTTGTGATCTAGGGATGAGAAGATATAATCATTTATAGATAGCACTGATAGAGTTGCCTGTAGTTAAGGTCATCCAATACTTTTGTTATAAGACCCTTTTTTCAGTAGCTCATAACTTTGCCAAACTTTAACTGTTTGGGCTGAAATTTTCCATGCAGGTATCTTTTTCTTTTTTTTAATGTTTCAGACATTTCTGAGGAGGAGGATAGGAAAAAAATATATGGTCTGCCCATGTTATAAAATTCTTATAATCATTTCATTGAGAAGCTCTAACTCTTCTCTGCTTTGCAGCAGGGAGTCAAAATTTTGGCAGGTAAGTCTGGTGGAAAAAAATAGTAAGTGATCATGTAATCAAAGACCATAGCATAAACATATATGCAAAGGTGCCAAATTAAAGTTGCTTGGGCAACCTTAGTTCTGGCATTTCCTATCTCTTGAGGAGGTATTTTTGACTGACATTAAAAATATCTAAGTGATTTTGTAAAAGACTTCATGTTAGGGGCAGAAAGAGTGGAAGAAGTTCTAAGCTGGAGTGTCTGAATTATAAGGTGGCATAGTGTTCTTGTGGTTTATTTTTACCTCTCTCTTTCATTTCTCCTGTGTTGATGATTCCCTGGAAGTCACAAGGGGCTTTGCACTATTTTCTAAAATGGAACTTCTGAGCTCCTTGGCTCACCCTCTGAAATCAATAGTACCACAGAAGCCAGTGTTATTGGACAGGACATACAATCAGGCTCTCATTCCCATTGGTGAAGTACTGCCAAATCAAGTGTAGCCAGAGGTGCACAACCTTTCCAATAATGCAGTGTCAGCTTGCCAGGCGCTTGAGGATCAGACATAGGTTTTCATATTTTAATCTGTTGTAAATGCACACAATTACGTATTTATGTTAAGCATGCTATAATTGTATGCAGCAGTTGACAAAATATGTGTAGAAGTCTGAAAAATATCAGTGGGAAAATGGTACTGGCAAACCTATCTCTTCAAGTCTGTTTTTATCTTTGAGGCAGTCACATGCATTCTGAAAGCCAAGTCTTATTCTGCAGGGTAAATGTGATATTTTTATTGTTCAGATTCATAAAAAAATGCTTTCAAAAAAGATTATACAAATATTATCCATCCCTTTTACTTCGATGGTTACTTATCATCCAATAGACATTCATAGAAATTTAGTAAGTTCCCATTATTAAAGTTGCATTGAAACACCACAACTCAATCAATTTTAGCTGAACTTTAGCCTGTATGTGTGCGTATGTGCACGCACGCGCACACGTGTAATTTTATTATTTGATTCTGCTTAAAATGGGTCTGCAAACATATATGAACAGCTTTTGTTCCTTTGAAAAAGCTTTGAATTTTGAAGCTTCTTGCTCCAATTGGCATAGGGATGGCGGACACTCACACTTTGATTTTTGAGCTTTTGTTGGCAAGTTGGAAATTAAGAAATGTCATTCCACTGAAGCTGTCTGTATAAAAGCTTGTAGCTGCAAGCAAAGGCCTCTGATCCTCCAGAAGACTGTTGATGAGCAGAATTAGGTTGAAATTCCTATCTAGCACTAACAAGAACTCTCTACTCTTTGCTCGTTCTCAACGGTTCCCTGCTTCTTCAAAGGTATGAGAAAGTTATGGGCAGTTTGGGGACCATGGATTGTACACAGCAGACCTAAGAAGATTTTCCTGTCTGTCTTCAGTGATATTGATCGACACTGGATAAGCACATTAGCTGGATAGTTCTACTAAAATGATCAGCAATAAAGTAGTTTAACTATATTTAACATTTTAACTGTCATCATTAGGTTACAGAACTGAAATCCTATTGAGAAGTATGGGGCATTTAACACTTACTTTAGAGCAGCACAGGAACCAAATTTATGTAATAACCCTTTATTGTGACTGTCATAATAAATGAAAAACTTATTAGTGGTCCAGAAAAGCTTTGCAAGGCTTTGAGCTGTTCAAGGCAGTGGTTTACAGTTTCAGTCAGACTGCATTGGATCAATTCATATTCAGAAGGCCGTTTTCGCTACCACAAGGGCTAGAAATTTGATGGCCCATATCCAGAACTGGAAATTCATTAGATTTATTTGCCACCATATGCAAAGCAGAACTTTTGCCCCTGTTGATTGGTGTGTGCCTAATGAGATAGTTATCGTTAATATCTACTTTAAGGGGGGAGTCTACCACCTACTCGGAAACACAAAATAATCTTAAGAAGCCATCATTTGATGTAGCTGATTTTTGCCATCTATTGCTGTTTCTAACCTTCCCTTCTTAGCTGAGGTTACCAAGGAGTTGTTAACTAATAAGCCTCACATAACTTCTCTGCCAGTATTCTGACCTTTCACGGTTGGATTCCAAAATAATTTATGATTTAGAGAGGGATTAAAGTAAGGTAGAGCAGCTGGGGAGCGCAGCTCGTTCTACTTTGCTAAAAACACCACCCTTCTCTTCTGTCTGATTTTTTTTTTTTTTTAAGTAGTGCTTCCCCACAACTCCCCATTCTCCTTGGTTGGTTAAGTGAGAACTCCTTCTGTTTCCAGCTACTTTAACAGCTGGCAGAGGCAGTCTCAGACCCCCCATCTAATATAGGTTCTGTCAATTTGCATACAGGATTTGGTGGGAATGCTGATGAAGTCACATTAAGTTGCCTTCCTTTGATCCTATTGGCCAGATCCCAGAAGGATCAGCTAGAATACATCCAGAGGCACACATGCTGGAGCAACATCTCTTTCACCCTGGATAGCAGTCATTGTGTACTCCCTCTCTCATCAGCTCATTTCAGTTTGTTGGTATGCTGTATCCAATACTGTGGGGTTGGCTAGTGTGGAGTGGTACTTATACCCAGAGCACAAGGACTGCATATGTACTCAACCCCTGTATGTGTGCACAAGAGGAAAGAGTGTGTGTGTGTGTGTGAGAGAGAGAGAGAGAGAGAGATCTCCTTGTGCTGTCTTCCTCTTTCTCAGTAGAGCCAGGCATAATCACTTGAAAGTGAGTGCTATGTGAGGCCTGGTCTATACTATGAGTTTAGTTCGAATTTAGCAGCGTTAAACAGAATTAACCCTGCACCCGTCCACACAACGAAGCCATTTACTTCGAAATAAAGGGATCTTAAAATCGATTTCTGTACTCCTCCCCGACAAGGGGAGTAGCG